CACACTAAAGCAACTAAATCTCATCCGCTTTCATGTCTCCGTATCAGCACCGATCGATTTAGCTCACTACAGCCTGACTTCTTTCCACCGGCTTAGCTGCGACTGCGACTCGGCGTTCTTATACTTCGACTTCGGGTAGCTCGTCTCTGCGGCGCAACCTGAAATGTTCTTCCATAAATCGACTGTGTCTTCATAATCACCTGTATGCTCTGACGTTTGCCACTTAGGCCACTGGCGGCGAAACTATAGACACTCGCTGGCACATACATACCTCTGTGAGTTAGTAAGCGTCTTAGAGTATTTGTATAGTTGTATGTGTTGATGTGGCTCAGTGTCCGGGAATTGATTTAGTCTTTCAGTTGTTATTTGCTCTTCTCTGCTGATTCTGAGGCAACTCCGCAGCAGTTGGTTCCTTCAGCGGTTAAGGCATTACACCATTCTTCCTGTTGCAAGATACCACAGTAGGCGAATGACTGGCAGCGAAAATAAATAAATCTATTTGAATTTATATCTAATTGTTTGTTAATGGTTTTATTGCGTATGTATGTATGTGAAGTTTTTTGTTTTGTTCATTGAGTAAAATTATTGTTGCTCATTGTAACTTCACTTTTAGTCATATTATTATAGAACAAATCACGTCGGCGTTCCATTTGTCGTTTCCTCAGCTCAATTTCAGATTGCACATATATAATCAGTATAAAAATGGTTTATAAAATATAAGCTTTTCATTATTTTAGCAATACTTGTGCCATTGTCCACAAATTTACTGAATCAAACGATCACGAAGCTATCTGAGTACGACATCTTAGCCCTTTAATGCACGATCGCATTTCTACAACGCGAAATGTCGATTATTAAAATTAGCTATTTGAAAAGGAATGGACTTATTTTGACTACACCTGGATTCAGTAACCACAATATCTAATCACTATTATTCTCATAAGTTTGGTTTAAAGAAACGTTACATTCTGAGAGACAAATTACTTTAATTCGCTCTAACATTTGCATATCATTATTTGGCTCACTTCGGTAATTACTGTCCAAAAGTAATAAATCGACTCAAATCATTCCGTTCAAAGCATTTCGCAAATGGTTGCGCTCGCTCTCTTTAAGCCGTTGTTCACTGCAGAACCGTTAGCGCAATCAGTAATCTATCTTAATTAGTTAAAGGGGAGCGAATTCCACGCCTGCATTCGGTGCCTTTCGAGACACTCACCATTTGGCACTCATTTATGTAATCATACACACACATACACACATATGTACGTGTGTTGTACGTAGGTTTGTGCTGAGTAACTTTTCATTTGGCTTTCTGATGTCGAGTTCAATGCACGAATACACCTTCACACTCACTGCAGCTGCAGTGTGGCTAACCTCAATAACTTTATCTGTGTCTGTCTATGTGGCATGTGCAGTTGTAGCAAGTCAGTGACCGCTGAAGCGGCGCGCGGCTTAAATCAATCAATGATCTGCAGTCTGTTGGGAAAAATCTCCAGCGGCGCGGTGCGGCGCGGCACATTGAACTCGACCGCCTACCCAGTAATCAGCCAAATATATGTAAATACCCTAACACACACATGCATACATTCATTCATTTAATGCTTGCATTCGATTAATGCTTGTGGCGGTGCGCTGCGTGAAAGGTCATTGTGTGCTCTAGTCATGATAAACCCTTGTGCATGAAGACTAAAGTCTACGCAGTTCAAAGTAAGCCATTGAGCGAATCGAGGGGGAAATGATACCTGTGAATGGGCGACTGACAGCGTTGACCTGCATTAATGGAGCATTAACTCACGAAAATTGTATGCATTTGAGCGGAATTCGTGAATCACAATGCAACGCTGTGAGGCGATGACACAATTCTGCTTGGACTGTGGAGAGAAAGGCCAATTTGCAACTAGTCATCAGGAATGGAATTGTATATTAAAATACTAATGCGTTAATTACCTTTATTTTAAAAGTTAAATGCTAAATGGGCGAGTTCAAGCAATACTTGTAGAGAACTGAATAACAAGTAATAATATTTAAAGCTTACTTTAGTATAACATTGCAGTCAAATTGATGGTCATATGTATAGTCAGAGCTAATGAAAGGGATATATGTCACATCTAGGAGAGAATAATTCACTAGAACACCATCCAAAGTAGCTACTACATTCCTAGAGTTTTTTGCAGAACTCGATTCATCTAATTAAGAGTCGAAAGCAAGTGATATTGAAACATTTTACAAGCGAAGTTTTTAACTTTTCTCCTAACGCACTGTAACTGCTAGACGATATAATTTTCCCTTTTTAATTGTTGCTAAATCTTCACCTATTCGCCTCGGTACTCTATTGCACTCAAGCTGAATACTGGTGCTGTTGTTGTTATTGCTGCTATTGTTGTCCACAATGTTGACACAGATTTACAATTAAGTGATTTTAACCTGTTCTACGTGCTTTCCGAGCGTTTCATTTCGTGCGAAATGTTGTTGCTTGCATTATTGTTACATTGCTTTCGCAACACAGCGTGCTTRTTGTTGTTGTGACTGCCACTTCCGCTGCAGCCACTACAAACAATCGTATTCTAGTTCTTGACCCTTTTCTTTTGTCTCACCAAATTGCAAGCAACCGGCGCAAAGGCGTAATGAAAAAATAAGTAAATCAGAAGCAAAAGTAATCGAATTCGTTGGCGATCGGCTGAGTCGTTGCGGAGGAGTGAAAGAAAGAAATTGTGCTACGACAGGCCTGAATAGAGATGCACTGGTTGTGGAATGTAATTGAAAAACGGCGAATAGGCGTTGCAGCAACAACGAATGCTGTCAAGGTGTTCAATACACCAATGCGGGCGTGAGCAGGCAACAACAACAACAGCAACAAGTGTGCCAACGACAAAACTTCATTTCGTCAAACAATCAAAGCGAAGCACGAAAAAACGGAGGCAGAATGAAAATCGAGCCTCAAGAATGGCAAGCAGAAAACAGAAGAAAGGCAGAGAACAACGTCTGACACTGTTATTTTGCGCCATTGTGCCCCCGCGCTCCTCTCACTTCCCTGTACACCTGCGCATTGCTGTCTTTGTGTTGTGAATGCGGCCACAAAAGCGTTGATCCCTACACTAAATCGATTAGCCCAGTTGCCTAGAAAATGTGAAAACAACAAATTGTTTAGCTTTTGCTGCCGTCTTTGTTGTTGTTGCTGTTGTTGTTGTTGTTGCCTCCCTCACCTCAACTCAACTGAACGCAGCTCAACTCGACACAGCTCAAGGTGGGCATAAACAAACTAACTAACTAGAAATCTCGCCGAGAGTCTAAAGCACAACTACAACACAATGCTGCCGAGCAACAGTAACTAGTCTACAGCCAACAACTACAACAAATGCAATGGGAGCAAATATTGACAGCAGCGATGTCTGATAGAGCAACAGTAACAACAACAACTACTAACGTAGTAAAGTAATAAAAGCAGCACGGTGTGTTGTAGTTGTAGCGGCAGCCGCCGTGGGAGTAAGTCAAGTGGCTTTGTGGCAGCTGCAACAAGCAACAGCAGTACGCAAATTCTTGCCACGCTTTGGCCTAGCTGCAGGACCGAACGCAGACATACACACATTTGTATGTATGCGTGAGTATGCATGTTGCAAGCAATAGCTGCAGCGCTTCAGCTTCCAAACAAAAAACATTTTTCTGCCTTTCAAGCCGTTCCCCTCCGCACAATCCCCTTCCTTACTCCTTTGTGCTGGCATACATATATACACACATACACACATATATATGCACTGGTTTACAGTTTTAGTGGGTGTCGAATTCGGTTGCGATTTATGAAGTGATGCATGAAATTGCTCTCAACTATACTCTCTCGCTCGCCAGTTGCCTTTGAGGCCCGAATAAGTTCGTTACAATTTAGTTGTGTAATTCCAGCTAGTTAGCAATGCAGGGAGCATAAAAGCAATGAAAACAATTAATTTCGCAAACTGAAGTTCAACTTTATAATGAATGTGAATTTTGAAAAATGATCAGCTATCGGAAAAGAAATTATTAATTCGGCAATTTTGATGGATTCCTTTTATATTTTCCATTAATAAGAATTAGCTAGTTAGCTTGACTCAAAATCGCATGCACTTCTTTTCTAATTAGTCAATCGTAGCAATGTTCTAATGGGCTAAGCAACATGTTGATAACGGATCCTGTATATAACTGTAAATATAGTTGATTATACCCAATTCTGATCAAATTTGTAGGCCTTTTAAATCTCCGAACCTACTTTTCCACCCATCCACCTCTCTGGATCCACTTTACGTCGGCATACGATCCACCGCAAAAGTTTCTTGCAGCCGGTTCAATTGGATGTGTCATACCATAACGCCAAAGCCATAACCAAAGAATTCAGTAGGTATGTTTAGAGTCACGGCGTTATGGCTTTATGGTAGTGGAGCACTCATTGGAAACAGTATTGTCCGTAAAGCATGTTCAATCAGCTGTTTTACATGGTTTTAGTTATGCCATCTGTAACTGAGCTTTAATCCATTATTCGTTCGCCGAACATAATGTTGCATGAATTCTTACATAAATGCTTCAGCAACATGTTGCGACATACGGCTATTTGCCGCCACAGCCACCACTAGTTGTTCGTGACTTCCAGTGAGCGCGCTCTCTTCGCCAATTTCACTTTCCGCTTCGTACAGAGACTTACTGCAGAGAGAAGTCTCCACCGCTTGTGCTCACGGCGGCACTTGGCCATTCAACACACGCAGTGCCTAGCTGTGCACGCAGCAGCTACTGGCACTGAGCGTGGGCAAATCCTGCTTGCACTGAGCGGCTTTTGTTTCGAGTAGCACACTCGTTGGCAGTGTAGGTGTGTGTGAGGCGCGCACTCTACACGTTTCGTTAAGTCATGCTCCAGCCTTCGTGACTTCCAACTGGCATTGGCGGTGTGTCGCTGTCGTCGCAGTCGTCGTGCTCCAGCACGGTGCATTTTGAGTTTGCGTTTAATTCATTTTTCTTCAGTCCACGACGATTAACCATGCCGAGCGGTTGGGTGTATTCGTGCAAGCGGCGTTATTAGGTTTTATTGCCAATTGTAATGAAATCATTTCATTAAAGTGAGCCAATTATTAGTTGCGGAAAATTGTGAAATCAAGTGAAGCGCACAAAGTATCTAACGGTTATTTAGCGCTGGCAAAAGCCTGAAGTGCCACTGTGAAAAGTTATTGGTGCTTGTGTGTATATGCGTTGATCGGATTTTCCATGCATGTAAATGCCAAGGAAGCTTAGTAGAAATTTTCGTGAATATTCGTGTAATTTACTGAATGAAATGAACGACAGCGTGTCGAAGTAAAAAATCGTTAAAGGCGAAATTGTGCCAAACGAGCAAACAGCCGAAGTTGCAAAAGCAAATAGGCTGGCAGGCTGTTAGGCAGTCCGTTAGCCAGTCAACAAGCCAGTAACGCGCATAGTTTTCGGAGGATAAGTTTTGCAACACGCTCACGTTCTAACCCATGTTGCGGCATTCAAAGGGGGTGTGAAAATTTCACATCCTTCACCCAAGCACGGTGCGTGTGTGTTTGTGTCTCGAACTCCTAGTGGCTAGCATGCTAGGAATATCATATGCAAACAACAACAACAAATTAAGTGAAATACAAAATCGCGTGCTATTGACCAGCGCATGTTACAGAAAAAAAATTGAGATTCGCACGCGCTACAACAACAATTTTTAAATGAAGTGCGTTCCCAAAGGTTCGATATTTGTACTTGAACTGCCGAAAATAGCCAAGTGCTGCTGGCAGGAGTGTTAAATTTAGTCGGTTCATGCAAATTTGAACCGTGGCGCGAAATCTGAACGCCCAAATGTGTATGCTACTAGAAACCGTTAATTGCTACGAAACATGAAATTCGCAAGTTAATACATTGACGGACCTACGCCACACTTATGTATGCGGTGCTCCGGTGGCAGAAATTGTGTTGTACACGTGAAAGGCACGTCACTCACGCATCCTGCGAGGCTAATCACAAAACATTTGACCCAAACAAAAATATAGCTAAAAAATACCCTGAAGAAAAATCGTGAAAATAAAAATGAAATGTGTGAAAATCATGTTGGACGCCTATAAAATCAGACGGATTATGGCCATTGTGCAAAGCGACGACCGCCAGACACTTCACTCATGGGAAATACACACACCCACACACTCACACACGCATTAGCACACACACCCCATTGTAGGCCTAAAATTGGCTAAAATCTAAACAAAAGTGAAACCGCAAAGCAAAGCAATAAAAATTAAGCCGAAAGGTGGTGCGAAGGACACGCGCGAAACGCAAGAATGCGTGCTTTGTGTTAATTAAAAAAGTTGAGAGGCCAAAGTCTGTGTGTGCAAAGAAAATATAAGCGATACACGCGGGCTTAACTCAAGTAATAACAACAACTACGCGCTGCAGACACAGCAATCCTTTCGCGTGAGCAGCGGAATTTAAAGCAAAGCGTCAAAGCATAAAAGGACTGCAAATGACGCATAGCTCAGCGGCAGCAGCTTCGATTTTGTTTGCTCGCTGTGTCTAACTTTGGTTTTGGTGTGAAACCTTGTGGCAGATCAACAACTGGAACCGCGAAAAAGTGTTTGCGAAAGACAAGTGAGACAACGTTTAAGAAGTTCTTTACCTTTTCGAAGTCGAATTATTTTTTAAGTTATTTTCTCGCTTTTTAACGGCGCTACTGTAGGCTCCATATACGCATAGCTCGCGTAAAACCAATCGCGTGACGAATAMTGTGTAGGAAAAATATTAATAATTAATTAATCTCCAACTTGTAGTAGACAGACCGCACGACTTGCCACTTCTTGAGCATGCAAGCAAGTCAGTGAAAAAGAAATAATAACATATCCAAAAAAGAATAAAAAAATAGAGTGAAAAAATCATCTCCCTTTGAGATTAGAAATTAAAATACTTAAATGTGCGCGGCGAACACAGTTGCAAGAAGGACTCATGCCACGCGAGCACAACCAAGTGAAATTCGACACATACTTTCATATATATTCCAAAGAGAGACAAGTCATGCATTCGTGTGCATAAAAAATACCTAAGCTCACATATCTAACAAAAAATAACAGCTGAGGCAGTTTCTAAAACCACAGAAATCATGCAAAATCGACAGCGACAACAGTGTATCACCTGCCACTGCAGTCACAGGCAGCAGCGCACAACGCTTCAACAATACCATCACCAACATCAATATACACGACAGCCGCAAGGTCGGCTCAAATATCGCACAACAACACGCCGGCTGCCACCACTGTGGCCGTTACTTCTCTCCACACTGCTGCTGACCGGCCAGCCACCTAGTTCGCTAGCCACACGCTTCAACCGCCAAAGTCAGGGCCACATTTCGTACGGCGCCGCAAGTGGCGCCAACAGCCTGCCCTCGCCGCACTTTCCACTCGATGCCAACAGCGCGTACGCGAGCAGCGGTGCCGCAGCCGGCAAGCATCACGCCAACATGAACAATGATGTTTACTCGGTGGCCGACAGTCAGGCCATGACCGATGATTATATGGCGCAATTTGGCAAACCACCTGCGTCACCGCCACCACCGATAATACCGCCATATCTGACGCACACGCATTCGACGTCCGCCGACAGCACGCTAATCGTGCACCACCAACCGCACCTGAGCAGCTGTCAGACGGTGTGCGCGTGCAAGTGGAAGGGCGGCAAGCAGACGGTGGAGTGTATCGATCGGCAGCTCATACAGATACCGGAGAACATCGATCCGTCAACACAGGTGCTGGACATGTCGGGCAATAAGTTGCAGACGCTGTCCAATGAGAAATTCATACGCGCCAATTTGCTGAATTTGCAGAAGCTGTATTTGCGCAGCTGCAAAATTGGTGAAATCGAACCGGAAACGTTTAAAGGTCTTACCAATCTCGTCGAACTGGACTTGTCGCATAATTTGCTGGTTGTCGTGCCATCGTTGGCGCTTAGCTATATCTCATCGCTGCGTGAGCTGACGCTGGCTTCCAATCATATACACAAGATCGAGTCGAACTCGTTCGCCAGCACGCCGTCATTGCACAAGCTTGATCTGTCGCACTGTGACATTCAGTCCATAGCACCGCTTGCTTTCGATGGTTTGGAGGGCTTAACTTTGCTCCGTCTTAATGGCAACAAGCTAGGTGTTTTGCAGCCGCGTACGATCGAAACACTGAGCAAATTGCACGGCATTGAACTGCATGACAATCCATGGCTCTGTGACTGTCGCATGAGAGATGCAAAACTCTGGCTGACCCAAAAGAACATACCATATCCCGTAGCGCCGTTATGCGCCGGTGGGCCCGAGCGCGTCGTCGATCGGACCTTCTCCGAGCTGCAGGTGGAGGACTTTGCTTGTCGACCGGAAATGCTGCCTATTAGTCATTATGTGGAGGCGACGATGGGCGAGAACGCTTCGGTAGTATGTCGCGCTAAAGCCATACCTGCGGCCGTTATAAATTGGTACTGGAATGGCAGACTGTTGTCAAACAACAGCGCGTTCAGTTCTTATCAACGTGTGCACATCTACGAGAACGGACACTTTGAGAAACATTCGCGGTTGGTGCTCACCAATGCGCAGGAAACAGACTCCAGTGAATTTTACTGCGTGGCGGAGAATCGTGCGGGCACAGCCGAGGCCAACTTCACGCTGCATGTAAGTATGCGTGCCGCAGGCATGGCATCACTCGGTAGTGGTCAAATTGTGGGCCTTAGTGCTGCTTTGGTAGTTTTAATTGTATGCATTTTGCTGGCGATAATGTTTCTGCTGATGCGTGTCAAGCGGCAGCCGTACACCGAAAGCAAAACGCCCAACCATATGGAGGTGGTGACTAGCGTCAACCATCAAAACTCCATAACGAACAAAACTCAACCCATTACCGGAAATGGCAGCATAGGCGGCGTCGTCATAGCCAACGGCGCCATACCGAACTGTATAGACACATCAGGCACGCTAGAGCGGAAGGGCAGCGCAGCGATGTCAGCGAATGAGGGCGGCTTCACCAATCCTGTGCAGAAACCGCCACGCCTCACGGACCTACCATACTCAGCCACTGGCTACGACAACAACGGCTCTGCTTTGTCAACGGCGCCTTGCTACCTTTCGCCTACAGCATCGGCTGGCAACAACCCAGATCTCATTAATGACACAAAACGTTTCGGTAGCGATGAGTTTGCTGATCTGAAAATACCAGCGATACTGACTGCTAATTTGGGCACCGAACTGGGCAACTCTAGCGGCGAGTACAGTCGCGCTGGCGGTTGCGACTCACTCTATCCCTCTGGACTGTGGGAGAATACGCCAGCGGGCACCTCTTCAGCGGACGATCTCTTCATGAAGCGCTACACCGACAAAACGCCTATCATTGAGTCGAACCAACTTTACGATCTGCATGAGCGAACCGTCGACTACTTCAGCAAAACATTTCCACGAACGCATTACAACAACTTGCAGCTGGCCGGCGGTTGTGCGTCTACCAACGGTAGTAATGGCGGTGGGGTCGGCGGCATGTTGCACAATCCGTCCACGTCATCGGCCGCGCTGCTGCACAATTCGAACGGTGGCATGGGCGGCACCCACTCAACCGCCTCAACAACCACCACCAATCTCTCAGGCTCATCCAGCGCGTACGTGGGCGGCGGCTACCCCAATGACTACGGCCTACCATTGGTGCCTGGCGCCGAGCACCAACACAACCATCACCTGCAAATGCATCCACTACAACAACTGCAACAGCATATGACGCCGGCAGTGGCGAGCCAACATGGTCTTGGCGGCAGCGCCAGCGGCAGCGGCAACAGCAGCAACCACAGCAGTCCACACTTCAGCAGCAGAACACTGCCACGCCTGCACGAGCACAGCGGCAGCAGCAGCAGYGGCGCTGGACTCAGCAGCTCCAGATCCTCACCCACACCAGCGACGACCGCAGTGGCGGTGACGGTGACGCAAAACGGCACGGGCCAAACGCACACTTCAATACTGCCGAACGGACAGCCGGTGAACGCCAAGACAATACGCGTGTGGCAGAAGGGTGGCGTGCCAGTGCTGCCACCGGTGACGGCGCTGAAGCGCGCGCTGACGAGCAGCAGCCGCAACTCACCGGACGAGGGCTACCAGGAGGGCTGCGGCACTGACGTGTAAAACGAGCCAGCGACTAGCAACAGCGAGACGTTCCTTACATTATAGGCGCAAAGGTACTTGGTGAAGTGCGACGGCGACGGCGACACAATCTTTTTGATTTTCCATATAAGTTTTGTATATTTTTGTGAATTTAGCAATTAGTTTATGCTTAAGTTGTTGAATTTAAGTGAGTTTTTGCACACAGCTGTACGCAGAGCGCGTCAAATAGTTTGTAATCACATTATTTTTTTTTTTTTTTTACTAATTTACTTTCTATCTAAAAGAAGAATAATTTCGCGCATCCATACTAATACTAATACTAATACAATTGACTGCAAACGAGGAGAGAATGACGACGATTAGATTTTTGTACTGAGCAGCTGCGCTCCGCACTCGGCCGTTTGTGAGGCTGACGGAGCGCGGACCTGCATAACTACTACTACTGCAGTTCGCCAGTGGTAATAAACGTGAATGTGATAGTGTTTGAGTAATTCATAACTAAAGATAATAATTGAAAATTGTGTAGAAGGATGTTACTTTTCATTTAATATAAAAATATATATAAATATATAATATAATATAATGTATGCATAAGTCACAGGATAAATGAATTTCGAATGCATAACTACAAGTATACTTTTAGGGTTAATGTAAATAATTACTAAACTACTAAAGTCGTAAGAGCAGCACGTAGTTAAGTACCAAATAAAAAGTAAAAATAAGTGACATTCAAAGCAGACGCAGTGTTTCAAAGTTGTGAAAATATATTAAAAAAAACGAAAATTAAAAAATAAATAATTATTTGTGGAAATGAAAATTCAATGGTAAATACTGTACTAAAAAAGTTAACTGCAAGTGGTGCATAGTATATTGATAAACTAAATATTTGGCGCGCAGTTGGAAATATTCATGTGGCAACTGAAATTCGGGAGTCCATTGAGCGCGCCTAAAATGCGGCAAGTAAACTTTCGGCAATGTTTGCGCTAAATGTTCGTGTGCTGTTGCAAGCAACCAAAGTCCGAAGCGCACTGTAAGTTGGAAAACAATTAATTTTGCAATCAAAGTACTTTTGTTGCTCCATTGTTTGCATTTTATTTGCATACTTTCCCAACAAACTTTTACAGATGTCTGCATTTTTTATATTCTTTTTTTATATTACATAATGAGCACGGGGCCAGTCGTTTGAATTGCAGACTACAGACCAATGATAAGTGAATTTGTTTAGCGCCACTTTAAGTAGCGGAAATAATTCATGTTTACAAAGCGGTGGACATAATGTTATTCATATTCGAAAGTACAAGTTGAAGACAGCATTTTTGGACAGTTTAAGGTTTTTGTTACAATTGGTATATTCTAAAAATTAAAGATGCACAGAAAGGTGGGTACAACTATCCAATACAAGAAAATATTTTGTTCTTGAACCTTTCATAGTTTGAAGCCGTAATGTCCAAGTCACTCGAATGCTTAAGCATTTAATGGAAATATGGGCCCTGTCACCATGAAAGGACTCTATAACTCAACTGTTTAAGGTCCGCTTCTAATTTATGCTTTACTAAAGTCAAAACCAACTTCAATTTTAAAAGGTTTATAGCAAACGATTCCCATATTAAGCAAGTGGATCCTAATTAAAAGGACTTACGTCAAATAAAGTATTTTTTAAAGACAAAATATTCGCTTTCTTCTTTGAAGATGTGAATAAAGACCAACACTATTTTCGATACACAATTCTTTGAAACAATATTTTAAAGTTAGCCCACTTTCTCCCTTGATTCCATAATAATTAATCATTGTCAGATATAATAAACAATAAATAACCATTTTATAACCAATATATGAGTGTATGATAACCAATACATAACCATTTTATAACCAAACCCATCAATTTTTTTTTTTTTTTTTTTTAATATGAGTGGTTTAAATTATAACGTTTTTCCTTCGCCTGCAAACTTGTGAAAAAGATTTCACGTTATTTTGCATGTTGGCTGACGATTGGTACTTCATACTGTCCCTTTTGAGACACATTAAAGAAAAATAACTCCGTTAAACAATTTATGTAGAACTTTCATTTGTTTTCTTTAAAAAAAAATGTTTTACGAAAATTATAAAAAATTTAAAACTGTTTTTAATCTCGTAGTGGTCACTTGTTATCCATCAATTCTATTACATTAGTAAACTTTTCAAATTTGTAATCGAATTAGTTTTCGAATATGAATATGTACAGCTTTCATGCCTTTTGTCATGAAAGTTCTAAAAGCTTTCACTTATCATTGGCAATCGGCGCTGTTGAACTTTTCTTCAAATACTGCCGAGTTGTATTACTATTACAAGAGACTAAGTAGACTACTTATATTAGATATGTGTAAGATGAACTTTACAGTTGCACAAGCCCAATAACAGTGTTTAAACGTAAGCGTTATGAAAAGTAGGTGAATTACTTGTAAGCGAGTCGGACTGTTGAAAAGTAAACAAATTAAAACTGGAAGTCTACTCTTTTTACACTTTTCTACACGCTTTCGAGAGTAAGCGCAGCGCTGTAATTTAATTAAAGCGAAGTTAGTTTGTTTAATATTTTATTAAATACATAGTTTCAAAGTTGACGAATAAACAGGAAAGTATGAAAAGTGCGAGCAGCGCAGTTCAGGGACACATGCACATACACACAGACAAATTCATGGAAAAATACACATAAAACATAACTAGGACAGACATACATTTCAGCAGGTGAATGTACGAAATTTACACACGCAACTGAGTGCAAGTTAGAATGGGAAGTTGAACAAAGTAAAAACACAAAAGAGAAGATAAAATGTATAAAATAAAATATTTTTATAGCGTACTTAGTACTTGAAGGCAGCTAGTGTAATAATAATAACACAGAACGGCATAAGTGCACGGCCAACACATGTGAGGCAAGTGTGTGCGAAAAAGAAGGAGCAGAAATTTGAAAGCAGGAAACTTGAGCATGCCGCAGCGCTGAAGAGTAAGGAAGAGTAAGCGTGGCTTGTTTCTTAAGCACAGCAAATGTTAGTTTAGCATTGTTTGGATAGCATTAAAAGTCAGAGCAAAGTGCGAGCCTCACGAATTTAAATACAAACACACTTGCGGACAGGCCAACCCAAAGACAGGTGCGAGTGTGTGTGTAGGTCGAACATATGAAATGGAAACCGCAAGAATTTATGGCTCACTGTAAGAAATCGAGCCGTGTTTAGGCAATAACCGTAAATAAAAAAACGACATACAGACCGCACAGACACCGACCAATAGCTCCCTAGACAGACACAACCGAAATTTGCATACAAAAATATAAATAAGAAAAAATATCATGAATCAAATTCACTCACACAACGAAACACAAATGGCCACAGTACAATAAAAAGGCAAAAACAAGAGAAAAATGCAAACAAATATGCCTGCAAATCTTAACGGACTTAGCACTAACATTTCAAGCCGCTGCTGCTGAACTCCCTTGAAAGCTACCGAATATTGTTGGAAAGTTGGCCACATTGGAATGTGTTATGCGTGTAAATTGAAAGCGAACCCATAAAACTAAAATCAATTCATAGACTTATGTGCTTGTGAGAAAACCACAAAGCACCACAAATGAAATAAGTAATTATTGTGTCACGATAAATACCCCTCCTCAGTGTATACAATGAGTGTATAAAAGTAAAACTAAAAAAAAAAAATAAGAAATCACATTCTTTGCGCTCAAAAAATGGTTACAAAAGTATAACAATAATTTCAAAAGTCACGTAATCAAATGAAATCAATACGCCTGTAAGCAGTTGATAGTCAATATGCGTTTGTAAATACTCATGAATGTAAAGTAGAATTGCTGTGCTCCCGCTAAAGCGCTCATTTGTACATACAAACCCACACACACACACTTACACGTATACGCCGAAATATATTTTCCCAAACGTTTGAAGCATGTAAATTTGTAATTATATGTTTTCGTGTGCTATCGACGTCGTCAGTTGTAAGTGACCAACGTCAGTGTAAATTGTAACAAAACCAAGCGTGTTTGGCGAAGCATCAAAGCAACTACTAAATATATACGAACGATACAGATAACAACTACAAACACAACTCAACAAAATATGCCAGTTTCATGCCAATGTGGCGCCACAGCACACAGCAAAAAACGCTGCGTTCTGCTGTGACAGAATGGCGCCTGAATGTAGGCTAGCCAGGAGCCTGCAATTCCGCAGCTTTGCACGAGCATATAAACCCACACACACACATATCCACACTCGCATATCAACACTAGTATAGCCGTTCGGTAGAAGCAGCGAAACACTAGCGCATACACACACACACATACACAAATACACTCGTACATATACCGCAACTTATATATATCATTCATGCATATGTAAGTAAGAAAGCATTAAGGACTAATAATCTAGTTTATAGTAGCTGTTTAAGTCTATATTATATACGTATATGTATATGTAAAAAGTAAATGCGAAAATTAAACATTATGTGTATGTATTTATGCAACTGTATTTGTAACTGTATGGTAAACCAAAGACTTTTTTCTTTGAAATAAAAACCTAAAACAATAAGTAAACGAAACAAAAAACAAAATATGTATAATGAAAGAAAATTACACAAACCACACGAGGGAAATGCGAATTAAAATAAAGACAGAAAGCATTAACGTATATATATGAGCTGTAAATCCCATATATATAGGAAAATATAAAAAAATAATCAACATGTGTTTTATTGCTCATAAAACGGTGCATCCATCAGGTGACACGAGCAGCTGCTTGCCGCACGATTCCACGATTTCCAGCGCAGAAGGTGTCATAAAGTAAGTAAGCGTCTGTTTTTAGCTTCAGAATGTTTTTGCTTCAGAATTCCACGGTGCGAGACAATGTGGCGGCAGGTCAGAGGACACACAGGCATGGGTGCATATTTCACGGCAATAAAGCCGGGAATTATGCGGACCAGTGAATACCTAAATGTTATGCGCTTTTGAAGCACATGTGTAGGCAAAATTAAATGTTCGGATATAACATTTTATTGCAAATAAAAAAACTTTTGTAATAAGTGAATGTTTGCGTGCAAGCATATTTTTCCCTGATTTAAAAGTGGGCGATCTACAAATACTGATGGATTTTGAGTCGTGTATCACAATCTAGTCTGATCATATACCTATTCAGCAATATGCATATAGTCACCGAAAATGCAAAAAAAAAAAAACACAAACTCGAATACAGCTGTCAGATATAATAACCAATTTATAACGGTTTCATAACTATTTTATAACCATCTTATAACCAAAACTCAAGTTTTTTTTGAGGGTATGATAACCAATATATAACCATTTTATAACCGAAACACTAATTTCTTTCCATGTGATTGATAATTCCATTATAACGTTTTTCCTTCGCCGATAAACTTATGTTAAGTTATTTTGCATTTTGGGTGAAGATATATAGTACTTCTTCAGCACGAATTTTTTTTTTTTTAATTTCATCAAAATTTCAAAATCAACTCCGCTAGTGCAATTTTTTGGTTAAAATTTACTTTGCTTTATTATAAATCGACTTTATTCCGAAAGGTATTCAACGAATAGGTTCATTCTGTGGCTAGCAAGTCAAACTTCTTCAAGTTTTGCGACAGCTAGCATCCCATTTCAGTTAAGTGCGGCGTATGATTACCATTACCATTCAATATTTATATTCCACATTCACTTTGATACAATCCACAGACACATTAACATGCATTTTAAATCGATTTCAGCAAAGCACACGCAA